GCACACAGCTATTTCCCTCTGACTTCCTGGGCCGGGCACACAGCTATTTCCCTCTGACTTCCTGGGCCGGGCACACAGCTATTTCCCTCTGACTTCCTGGGCCGGGCACACAGCTATAAATGAAGTCCTCTCCACTTCCTCCCCATGTCCACATCACACGGTTCTTTTCATTTCCCCTCTTGGAGCAATTCCCTGCAATGCTGTGTGCATTTGCATTCACTCTACCATAATAAGTATACATATATGAGCATTCTTAGATGCCTGGGATCACTGCACAAAGTCTTCCTTCTGTCCTGCCCTGCCCTGCCTCCTCTCATCACTGCAGAACCAGCTGACTTTAACTATTGATTGCTTTCCAAATCACTTTCGCATCTTGCTGTTTAGCCTTTACAGTGATCTGTCAGTCCCTCTCCAGCGTACATTTCTCCATTAAATATTGAATACCATTTCTGAGGTTTGTATCACACTTCACGGGATACTCAGCTCTCTGCTTCTCCCTGTTAGATTCTTTTTCTATGAACCTCAGCGACAAATGTAAATATCTGCTTATTTGCACTATGGAAATTTAGTGCCAAGAGCAGACAGCACGCGTCAAGTAAATCAAATCAAATTGCCTCATCACATTGTAACTTACTGCTGCCCCACCAGACAGCTGGATCTGCCCTGAGAAATGACATTTACTACACATCTGAAGCCTCAATGGCTGCGCTAAAATAAATCCTCCCAACCTCTCCAGGTGGGGGCAGTAGAACTCACGTCCTACAAATGTAGTAATTCCATCCAATAAGCAGGTTGCACATCTTATGCACCCAATGAATTTAATAGTGGAGGACACTAATTCAGACCCGCTGAGTGCCGTTTACACTGTGCTCCTACATTTAGACTGTGCTGCAGAGTTTGAACTGAGCCGCCGGGGCAGCGATTTAGGGCACGGCCCCATAAGCACGCCTCGCCACTCTGCAGCGGAGCAGACGCCAGCCAAACCATCAGGCAACCTGTCACAGGCGGCGGAAAAGACCGGAGGGCATCTGAGGGCTCGGTCAGCAAGGCCAAGCGCAGCGAGCCTGGCACAGCGCCCCCTGTGCTCACCTCAGCCCAGGAGCTGCCTGCACCTGCACACACACCCGGCCTCATCTGGAGCTCGTCCATCGGGCTCCCTGAAGATCCCGACGACCACTTAGTCAGCTCCTCTCTTACACTTTGTCTCGTTTTCCTTTCTCATTCATGTCACTTTTTCCTGTCATTTCTATATTTTTGAATTTATCGACAAAAAAAAAATTAAAATTGTACGGACATACTATACAGGACGGTCTCCTAAAAGTCACCGTTGATTCTTACTCATCTGATGCATAAAAATATGTACATTTTATTTTTGGATTCCCAGGGATTTAAGTGGATAAGCACATTAAAAATAAAACCACATTTACTCATATCTGCTTTGCGTTCGAACTTTGAGTATTGTTGAACCATATTAAATGAGTGACATTCATACAGCAATGGGGCTGAGTGTTACTGGAAAACAGACTGAAATCTACTGGTGGCCAAAGCCAAATATCCTGGTCACCAGTTTGTCCTTCTTGAAAGACACCAGTTTTGATAGACGTCCATCTCTTTGACTCTCGGCCTCACTCTCTGTCTCCAAGGCTCTCCATCTCTCGCTCTCTCTCTCTGTACGATTTGTTTCTCATTAGTAGGTGCCAAACATAGCGGCGATTCATCAATACCTGTCCCACGAGCTCACTTTTGCTTATTCATCTCCGTCAGTAAAGGAAGTCTTTCCCAGTCCCTCCAGGACACGTGAGCATGTTTTACCGAAGCCATTAGATGAAGTATATGCAGGAGTGCCTTCAAAGTTACTGGTATGGGGCCCGAGCGGGGGGGGGGGGGGGGGGGGGTTCGATTGAAGTAGACTTTGAAAGTCATCGCAAACATGGCTGCTATATGCATTAATGGCCAAAACAATGAAAGGTTATACCATCAAGAATTAAGTTATGAAACCTTAAAGCAGGGCTACTTTGCAATATTGATTGTCTGCCTATGTGTTTTTACAGTCTCTGTCTTTAGCAACCACCTGAGACCTGTAGAAGAGGTGAGATTGTTCTGTGGGCTGCAGAGAGTACTGTCGAGATTACCCGAGTATCCAGAGAGTACTGTCGAGATTACCCGAGTATCCAGAGAGTACTGTCGAGATTACCCAAGTATCCAAGGCCTGGGGCGAGGCAGCCTTTAGCAAAGTGGTGTGCTGTTGATGCTAAAACCCTCCCTGCTGATATCCAGGAGTGCCGCAAAGGGGCGGACAGTCAGAACGATTCCAGGGGCCCCGAGCGACAGGGGCCTTAAAAAATCTGGAACATAATTGGATTGCTCTGGGTTGGGGGCCCAATATGATATGCTTTCCCAGGGCCAAAAATCTCTACACCTCTGCTAATATAAATCCGCATTCATAGGATTCTATGTGGTTAATTTGATTTTTGTTAGCTACTGAGCAAGTAGCTAAACACAAAGCAACTGACTTAAAATGTATACATTTAATGGTTATGAGAATTATTTTTTTCTGAAGATATTTGGGTTCTGTTTATTGCTCAAAGGTAAAACAGGATTTTCCTCATGAGATTCAACCTGTTACCCACTGTGTTAGTTGTCTCTTTATTCACCACAAAATTTAAAAACCCTGACACTAGAATCCTCTTGTTGAATGCACCTGGTTTTCTGAACAACAATTTTCTCGAAAGTTTTTGGGAATTCATAATTGTGCTCCAACTGTATTTGGGCTGCTGTGTGGGGCCTTGTGTGAAGGGACAGTACACAGGGTGTCCATCATTATGCCTGTCAAAGCCCACAATGTGAGCTGCTGTGTGGGGCCTTGTGTGAAGGGACAGTACACAGGGTGTCCATCGTCATGCCTGTCAAAGCTCACAATGTGGGTGAGAGGTGAGAGTGCCCGACTGTCAGGCTTGAGACTCCTCCCCTGTAATTTCGCGGTCTTCCTGCTGAGTCATATGAGTCAACCTCTGCCTTTTTTGGGGGTTCATAAGATACATGCAAGCTGTCCAGGACTTGGGAGACACTCAAGACGCATTCTGCAATATCACCCTGTAAAGAATCGATCCGCTAGATTTCTGTCTATTAATCTAATTGCTCTCAGTGTAATTTATAATTAATTAATTATTAACTATTAATTAAGCCTTGTTGAAACATCGTTTTATTACAGTCTTAAGTGCCAAATTACAGCTTAGTGAATAAAATCTAACTATATTTTTCAATGTTCACTCTAAGAAATGGGATTTGCATTGCTAAACTTAAATTTGTCAGGTAATTTGTAAAACAGTTGTAGTGGTTAAACATCTGGACTTCTGCCTAAAGATATTTTGGATCCTTGTTCTTACTTCTGTTATTCTTGCCAGAGAAACCGTAGTTCCTTTTACAGATTCAGTGTTTTAAATAGATTTTTCTTTCTTTCTTTTTAATTGATTCTCGCTTTCAATATTATGCCTTAAATCAGCAGTTGCTCACCCCGGTCATTGCAGCTTAATTTATGCTTGAATTTATACGTTGATGTAGTTTATTTCTTAAATTATAAAATCCATGGATTTATATAAGTTACATTAAATCGTCTGCGTTAGCAGAGTATCCGAAGTCCAAAAGTCCACGAGACATTTCATAGTCTATTGAATATTGTTAAAATATATATTATCTGTCAGACAGTTTAGACGAAGATAAATGGCATTAATTTAATTTACGTCTTCTTCCATGATAAATTATCTGCATTTGTGTTAACATTTGCTAACTCGGCTTTAAAACATATTGCCGTAGCAAAAATAACTATTACAAAGTAAAGAATTCCGCCGAATCACAACGAAGGAATAGATGGGATCATTTAAACGGTTTGATTTAGTTATGTACATAGAAAGGCACCGCTTCAGTGCTGCACAATTAAAATTCTCAATTAAAAATCAGCGCTGCATGCCTTTTTCGTTTTCGTATAGTATTGAAAAGTTACATCCCTTAACGGCGATCCCCCACTGTGGTGTCTTAATGTAGCCTACCTACCTTGTGAACGTGTCATTGTTTTCTGCATTGAATTAATAAATAAATATCACGAAGATCTTCGTGGCCGCTGTAGAGCCGCAGTATAGGGTGGTGTCCGGGGATGGGTGAAGCGTGGGCGGCACAGCGACATCGAACTGAGAAACTGTCACGTCCCCATAGTTTAACAAGCCCCGAAGGGGGGAAACATTATTATAATTACTCATAACCTTGTGCTTTCGACGCGTTTATGCCCTTTTTTTTACATAGGTTTATATTAGATATTAGGGTTGATAATCGCCTGATAGACATTCGCTGTCTTTGAACCTCTCTTTTTCGTTTAGTGAGCTGTCCAGGTGCTGAAGTTCATTTTCCAGTAGGCTATAATCAGCTATCATTGCGATCTTTGCAGTCACCACATTTAAAGCTATGGTCGTATACGTCATAACTCATACATCATATTTTACAGCCAAAGCACCAGCTATTAAGATTAACGATTAATTGCATCTATTAGGCATCGATTGCTTATAAGTTGGTCATAATCTACATATTAGCTTAAAGCACCGGTCAGGCCTTCCTTTTTACTGCCCTCCTTATACTTGCAGTCCTCGTTGGGACCAGTTTAATGCACAGCCCCTTGACTGGCACAATAGAATGAAACAAAACAATGAGAAATATTGTCCTATAATGCGAAGCTCACATGCCATATGGGACCTAGTTTGAACCTTATGAACCTACTTTAAAACCCCTAGTCTTGATATCCGAAGTGACGCATTACCTTATTACACGTTTTATCGTTATACACGTACACTTTTATGTTGCATCAATAAAGATACACATTATTTAATAATTCCTCAGTATTCTATATTGAAACATTTCAGACACTAGCCTACGAGTAGTTAGTTTAGAAACTCCATGTCCGGCCTCTTTATAATAGGCTACTACGCAACACCATGAATTAAGTCTATAGCATCGTATATTCTTCAAATTAAGTTCGCTGGTGTGAGATTTAATACTCTTAACCTAACAAACACAAAATGTGGCATATTCTGTGGTTATATTTTACTTCTATATTTTGGAGTTACTCGCGAATCGTTGTTAAATTACTAACATTTTAAGCATAGGCTACTAAGAGGCAACTTGTATTTTTCTGATTCTCACTAATTTCTTTTCATCCCCATCATGCAATTTATTTTCTTATGGCTTTGCACTGAAACTAAGAAATGAAGTGGGAAAAGTGTCGAAGGGGGACAATCCCTCCCCCTCGGTCGAATCGATTGTCTTTGCAGAGCAATCAGATGTTCTTGCTCTGTTAGCGATTATGCTAGCAAGTATAAAAGTGCGAGGTGAGCAGAGCTGCAGTCGCTGTGAGAGCCACCCACCGACCATCAGCCACACTTCGGCGTCTCCGCATCTTCACAGCACGCTGTCCCCAACACCGGCTTTACACGATGAGTTATACTTTAGATTCTATATGTAACCCTACTTATAGGAGGGTGATCGACTCCAGGACAAGCTACAGCCGCACCAGCGCATCACCTTCTCCTGGGTTTCGATCCCGTGCAATGCCGTCTCCGGTGTCCATGTCTTACAAAAAAGCCTCTAACGTTCCGGTTGTCCGGGCATTCGGCTCTGCGGTGCTCAGCTCCTCGGAAAGTCTTGACTTAAGCCAGTCCTCCCTGCTCAATGGGGACTTCAAGCGCTCCAACGAGAAAGAGCAGCTCCAGGGACTCAACGACCGTTTCGCCGGGTACATCGACAAGGTGCACTTTTTGGAGCAGCAGAACAAGGAGATCGAGGGGGAGATCCAGGCGCTGCGGCAGAAGCAGGTGTCGCAGTCCCAGCTCGGCGATGTGTACGACCAGGAACTGAAGGAGCTACGTGCGATGCTGGAGGAAATCCACCGCGAACGAGCGCAGATTCAGCTGGACGCGGACCACATGGAAGAGGACATCCAGAGGCTGACCGAGCGCTACCAGGATGAAGTCCGAGTACGGGAGGATACCGAGGCCGCCATCCGTGCCATGAAGAGCGACGTGGATGACTCAGCTTTGATTAAGTCAGAACTACAGAAAAAAGTGCAATCCCTTCAAGATGAGGTGGAGTTCTTGCGCAGGAATCACGAAGAAGAGGTGACTGAGCTCCTGGCGCAGCTGCAGGCGTCGCAGATCACCGTGGAGCGTAAAGACTACCTGAAGACCGACATCACCGAAGCGCTCCGGGAGATCCGCTCGCAACTTGACGGACACTCGTCTAAGAACCTCCAGCAAGCCGAGGACTGGTTCATTAGCCGCTACTCCAGGCTTACCGAAGCGGCCGAACAAAACAAGGATGCGATCAAAAACGCCCGGGATGAGATTGCTGACTCCCGCCGCCAGCTACAGACCAAGAACATCGAGTTGGAGTCCGTCCGTAGCACAAAAGAGTCACTGGAACGGCAGCTCACTGACATTGAGCAGCGGCATAACGGCGATCTGGCCAGTCTGCAGGTAATTAAACCTTAGAGGAGTATATAGGCGTATCTTAATATACTTGATTTGTTCATATAATTAAGCAATATCTACTAGAGAAAAAAATACCGCAACTGTTAATGCGTCAAAATGTAACGGAAAGTTCCAAAATGTTTTTGTAACTTTGTTATGTTGTGAATTTATTGCAGTTACTCTTAGTTCATAGACATGGCTAGAAAATATTTTTTTATTTTTCTTTGTGATGATCGAAATAATCGTCTGACAACCAGCAGTAAGTTTAATCGAGTAAATGTCCTTTTGCAAACACAATTTCTAGATTAGAGAAACATAAAACCTAATGTTAAAACATCGTGTACCTATGATTCGATCTCTTAATAACAGGTTTTATTTTAAGTGACTGTAATCTGTGCACCATTTTAAGCAGTGCTGCCCGAAAAAAAACACTTACGAGCGAGGCGGCTTTTGTTGCATTATGAGATTCGTTATTGAGTGGTCAGGTGCATGGAATTTTAAAGTTGCGCATGAAATTCCTTTTTCTATCCTTATAGGCTACAAACTTTGTATTTGTTTGCTGAATAGGGCGCACAGAACGATGTTACATTAGATTTCCCGGGGAAATCTTTAGGGCGCTTGGGATACGGCGAAACTGCCGCAGTCATTTTTGAATAACGCTTGCAGGCATTTGGACAGCCCGTTATCGATTAGGAATAACAGCAGATCAATCAATCAATCAATAAACAAACAATTAATAATAATAACAGCAAAGTATAACCTATACGTACAAACAACCATACAACTGCACTGAAACAGAAAGATTTTTGAAATTCATATTAAGCATGTACACCGCTGTATAGCCTATTGATGCTTCTTACTGGCGTGTTCGGCTGTATTGTTTCCCTAAGAATAATGCTTCGTTCGTTTGCCCTTGCTCTCACCTTGCTTCCAATCAGGAAACGATTCACCAGCTGGACAACGAGCTGAAGGGCACGAAATGGGAGATGGCCCGACACCTGAGAGAGTACCAGGATCTGCTCAACGTCAAGATGGCTCTGGATATCGAGATCGCGGCGTACAGGTCAGACAAGCAGCAGTGATCTTACAAAGCTCAAAAAATATCTCATTTTAGTTGTAGCCACCAGAGGCCGTTCTAGGTTTAGGAGAGATCCGGGGCTTTTGCCCAGAACCCTGTCGATGAGTCGGAGTTCAAGATTTAAAGTAGGATTAAATTCTGTCCGTCTGTTCCATTCAAAACACATTAGCTCCATGTCCATCGCGGCTAATGATTTTGGTGTTTAATGACAACTAATTCCATATTATACATATAACGAACAAAACATGATTTAAAAAGATTCGTGGCTTTTCTAAAACATTCGGTTCTTAAGCCTCACTAACCCGACCCTGGCGCCGCCACTCGGGGCCACGATGCTACACAACAGTATGTCTCACAATATTACAGACTTTTTTTTTCGGAGAGTATAGCCTAAAATCCTTTCTGTCTCATTTACCTGTGACGTTTGATGGTTTTATTAATTCTAGTTCATTATTTTTCAAACCCCACCCGCACAGCATTTATGAGCATGCATTTATATATGCGGATTTCCTGTTTTTTGTTCGGAAATGCTTCAGGGGTGTAGCCTGCGTCTGCGGTCATAAATCCATGCACCTAATCAGTACGCTGATCGCGGTCTTTGCAGCGCCATAAACACTCAATTTTCTGGCTGTTAGAAATGTATTTATTTCTGTTAGAGAACTAGAAAAAGTTTAGTTAATTATATCCCACTTATGCTTGTAACTAAGACACATTTTTAATAACAATGAATATGCATTTGCAATACATATTTAAATAGTCATTAACAATAATAATTAATAAAATGCATTTCTATGCTTTTGACTAACTCATACTAATTCATACTCAGTATCAGAATGAAAATTGCAGAATCGGAATTACATTATGAAATGAATTGGCTTACAAAGTGTAATTACTTACTGAAACCTGGTGTATATCAACCTTCAACTTTACATGTTACAAAAAGTATAGAAGTTTATAATAATAAAGTTATTACTTCATATAATAAAAAGTTTTTAAATATAGAAATTTTATGTGAACATTACACATTTACTATTAATTTGATAAAACTGATAATTTTTTTGCATAATTTAAAAACAAGTTTCTTTTAATTTTTCTTAGGAAACTTCTAGAAGGGGAGGAGACTCGCTTCAGCAGTTTCTCTGGAGGCATCGTGAGCCCCTCTTTCCCGTACCGTCAGCCGGTCATACCCAGCAAGGTCCCTAAGGCCAAGACCGAAGCCCCCAAGCTGAAAGTGCAGCACAAGTTTGTGGAGGAGATCATAGAGGAGACCCGTGTGGAAGACGAGAAGGACATGGATGAAGTTCTGGCCCAGGCTGTGGAGGAGCTGTCTGCTGAGCAGGAGGAGGTGGCTGGTGAAGAGAAGGAGGAAGAAGAGCAGGAGAAGGAAGAGGAACAGGCAGCAGCAGAGGAGGAGGAAGAAGCAGCAGAGGAAGAAGAGGTGGTGGCCACCACTCAAGCTGCAGTGAGCTCTAGCCCACCAGAGGAGGAGCAGGAAGAGGAAGGAGAAGACGACAAGCAAGGAGAGGGTGAAACTGGAGATGAAGCAGAAAAGGAGGGAGAGGGTGAAGATTCCAAGGAGAGGGAAGAAGAGGCAGAGGAGGATCAGGAAGAGGCAGAGGGTGGAGAGGAGGGGGAACAGAAAGAAGGGGATGATGAAGAATCTGTGGTGGAGGAGACAGTGTTGTCCACAAAAGCCACCAAAGCAGAAGCCACACCTGAAAAAACAGAGGAAGATAAGGAGGAGAGCACTGTAGAGGAGAAGGAAAAAGGAGGAGAGAAGGAGCAAAAAGTAGAAGAGGATGAGGGGGACCAGAAGAGTGATGCCAAAGAAGATGCAGACACAGAAAATGGCAAAGTTACAAGTGAAGAAAAGAAAGAGGAACACCAAGACAAAGCAGATGAAGATATCAAGGAAAAGGATGAAACAGATAAGAAGGCAAAGGAAGAGAAATTGGAGGAGCCTGTAGCCAAGAGTGAGGCTCCCAAAGTGGAAGCAAAGGAAGATAAGAAGAGTGAACTAGAAGGCAAGGAAGACAAGAAGAGCATTTCAGAAGTTAAAGAAGATAAGAAGAGTGAATCAGAAGTTAAGGAAGACAAGAAGAGTGATTCAGAAGACAAGAAGAGTGATTCAGAAGACAAGAAGAGTGATTCAGAAGACAAGAAGAGTGATTCAGAAGTTAAGGAGGAGAAGAAGAGTGACTCAGAAGTTAAGGCAGAGAAGAAGAGTGATTCAGAAGTTAAGGAAGAGAAGAAGAGTGAAACAGAAGTTAAGGAAGAGAAGAAGAGTGATTCCGAAGTTAAGGAAGACAAGAAGAGTGATTCAGAAGACAAGAAGAGTGATTCCGAAGTTAAGGAAGATAAAAAGAGTGATTCAGAAGACAAAAAGAGTGGTTCAGAAGTTAAGGAAGATAAGAAGAGTGATTCAGAAGGTAAAGAAGAAAAGGCAGGAAAGGCAGTTGAAAAGGAAGACTTAGCTGTCAATGGAACAGTTGAAAAGGACGAGAAAAAAGCCGGAACAGAAAAACAAGAAGTGGTGACCAATGGCACAGACAAGAGCCCCACCAGCGATGGCAGTAACCAGAAGGTCGTCATCACCGAAAAGGTGGAGACTGTCACCAATGGTGACGGTGGAGCCAAGCATGTCACCACATCGGTCACAGTCACCGAGACTACGAAGAAGGCGGAAGAGATGCTCCAGCAGGAAGTAGTCTCCACCAAGAAAGTAGAAAAGATCACCCACGAGGTGAAGCAGGTCACTGAAACACAGTGAGGGTACTGTCCAGCCATGGAGAGGACGAGAGCCCTCCTTTAACGCCTGATCGAGAGCATATTAAAATACGTAGCGAAAGCCATAAGGTACAACACGCTGAACAAAAGTGCATGACGAGTGATAGCTTTCAACGGGCTCTGCCCTGTGCCGCTGACGGGGGTTTTCTGAAGGGGGAGTCCTTTTATTATCTTTGTGCAATATATGGGGGTGGGGGATACTGCATGCAATTGTCAAACAGGTACACCCCTTCCCCCCCCAACATCGCAGCAGGGCCAATTCCAGCATTACAAGTGTGTGTACGCGAGCAGTGTGTGTGTGTGCGTGTATGTGTGGGTGAGGATTTTTCCAGTGTGTCAGATGCATCTGAATTGAGCTGTGCTGTCAAGAGTGGGGCAGGAAAAACTGGGGGGGGGGTTGGTTCCTGTTATAGCTGAATTTAGTCAACATATGCAAAGAATTTACTGAGCCAAAAATATTTAGCAATGATGATGGTTACTGTAATAACCGTATTGTTACAAGGGCACATGACGATTGAAGTGTAGGATTATTCTGAGACAAACCGAAGCGACTAATGACAGGAAAAATCTAATGCTCCTAGCCTTAAAAATGCAGTTTATCATTGTCTGTTCTCTTTACCTCATGACTACATTAAAGAATAAAATGTACATTTAAGCAACGAGAAACGCTGATGCATATGAATGACCCTCACTCCAGAGTGAATTCAACTAAGGTGCTAAAGTATGCCACCCATTTCAAAGTTTCATTGACAGTTTCTCAATGGCATTTGCTCAATAAACGTCAATCGAAATGACTCACAATCATCCCTGTGTGTGGTCCCGTTATTATCTTCACCACAATATAGTAATTTTTTTTCTTCGTTTTCCATTGACAAGTGATTAAAGCATTAAGGTCACAGTCATTACTTGAAGTTCTGGCTGTAAATATGAATAAGTACAAACTATGCATGAGGAAGACGAGAATCGGTCTAATTATCTATCTCTGTTTATCACTCTCTTAAGTTGATGACATGAACAAATTCAAAAAACGGCATCACAATCATCGTTTTTGTTAAACCACTATATAACATATGGTTTGGCATTAAAATAATTACTTACTTATCAAATTATCACTTTTTATTATGTAATCTGGACCACTGGCATTCCTCATATAAAAATTGCATTGGATTGTTGTACGTGTTAATAATTCTCCCCCAGTGAGTCTGTGAATCGCCCCCAGTGAATGAATATATCAGAGGGCAAATGAGCTGATGTGTTACTCAGCTTTAATTTCTCCTCCATTTGCTTATAGATTTCCATTGCATTATCCTTGCAAACTGAAAAGCTTGCCATCAAAAAAAAAAACAATCAATTGTGGCATATAAGTCATAAATCATCACTGCATTTGTTTCTCCAGCAAATCTGCACAAGATCCACTTGCCCAGGCCGATTGTGCTGAGCTTTCTGCAGAGTTCTGTCATCTGGCCTGTTCTGTACCAGCTGCTCCACTTATGTTTCTGGCATGTTTCCTGGATTTGCATTAAATATTGAGTTCTGTCACACGTTTAGCTTGCTGTTATTTCTTCTGTTTGTAAGTAACAAGGATTGCTTAACTTTTACATCAGAATAGAACGAACATTTAAGAAAGGTTTCTGCACATGATAAATGGTTTTCTAATTGATGCTTTATACATTTAAAAATAATCCACCCATCTTCCCATCATTTATCCCAGACACGGGCCCAGATCCTATCCCAGGAAGCACTATCCTCGGAGCCACTCCCTGTTTGGGATTCCAGTCTTCAACTTCAGGGCCCACAGATACACGCAGTGGGCAATTTGGAGATGCCAGTTAGATTCATTGAAATGTTTTGGAACCTGGAGTGTGAAAATGGGTTGAGAATGTAAACCCCGCTGGTGGGATTCAAACCCATAATGCTGATAGGTGAGGGCACCACTGTTCCTTTTAAAAATTAATTCTACATTTAATTTTGGCTGATGGCAGCTGCCCTGTGTTAGCATTAGCTAATTAGATTTTTCTTGGTTTATTCTGCTTTGTCGGCTCATTTCATATCTGCTGCATTAATTTAATGCCAGCGGGAGCCAAACTGCAATAGCATCAGCTGATGTTTTGAGCCCATTCCCTGGGGAAAAATTAGAAAAATTTTAACACTTAACTTTATGTATTTTGCTCATACAGTGATCCCCCCATCACGGAAGTTACGTTCCAGACCCATCAGCGATAGGTGAAAATCCGCAATATAGAAAGATCATATAAATAAACATTTTTTTTTTTATAGTTTAAGCCTTAAAATACCTCTCCTACATACTTTAAACACATGTAAACTTATTAAAACACATTTTGTAAACAAATATGATATGTGGATGTCGGGCTAAGGATATGAGTCACGTAATAATAATAATAATAATAATAATAATATGTAATGTATATGTATATATACGCACATCGCAGAGAACTGTGTTACGTCGGGGAAAAATCGGCGATATAGTGGGGCGCGATAGCTGAACCGCGATATAGCGGGGGATCACTTTATATATTTTGAATGTTTTGTCTTCTCTATAGATTCTCTGATATGCCTAAGAACCCTTCACTAATGTTGCCTTTATATATTTACTGCTCAGTAATCAAACGACCACAAACTGCAAACTCAGCTCAATGATCACTGCCTTATCGGTGACTGAGCAATTAGCACTGAGAACAAGATCTCTGGGCTGATGTCTCAGGAATTCCAAGCTGACAGGGCAATGCAGATTAAGCTGAAAGCAACACTTTCCTTGGGCATCCAGCCCTCTGCACCACGTACATTATCATCATCCTGTAAGGTAGCAGATGAGCTTGGCTCTTCCGGTTATTTTGCTGAATGTTAATCAATGTTTGGCCATGGTTCTGCTCTGACCGCTCATCCAACGTCCCACCATGAAGCAGAAGGGTACAGAAGCTCCGTGATAGGAGGTCAGGCCCCCATTAAGTGGGCTGGCCGAGCACCATCAGGGCAGCTTCCACCCATGAAGGTGAGTTATTGTAACGGTAAGGCAGCAGCACTAAATGGAGCCCAGGATAATGCACCCTTGAGCAAAGTAACCGTAGCCAGAGACGTCTGCAGAGCCACTGAATAATGCAAGAGCAAATAGAGTGAGCAAAACCCTGAGACCGTGCGATGCCAGCGATAGCCAGTCAGCAAACGTCCTCCCCCCACTCAATCGCAGCCTGAGCGCATTGAGCAAATCAATGTGACCCCCCTCCCCCCCCGGCCCCCATCCAGGTCTGCCGTCTTAAGGTGGACTGGGGGTGCAGGGTCACTCCCAGCCCCAAGCACTTAGAGATATTGCCATGGAAAGGGTCACCTCGGGAGGGGGGCGGGGTCACGCGCCGCCCGCTGAGCCTCCCGCCTGCCAGCTGGTGGATGGGATTTATCGGCTACCGGTCGATGCTCTTGACCGCGTTCTGCTTCGGCTGCCGTTTCTCAGCGCCGATTCCAGAGCGCTGTGCTGATGGGGACGGACACGCTGTCTGCATACAGAGGCGCCACACAGGTGCTTCGCCGCTGCTGTCATCCGGTTAGACGCGCAGACCTTAAATTTCTATGCATTTTCCTGGGGAAATCCAGCTTGAACACTGAACAGGGTACGTGACAGGCTACCCTACTAGGACTTCATGAGTCTCCTACATTTTTACATTTATATACCATATTTTGTATAATAAGCAACAAAACAACTGTACCATGCTTAATGTTTCAAAACAAAAGGTGTATCCTTGGATTTGAACACACAACCTTCTGCTGTAGAGGCAAGTTCTAAGCTCATATACTTGTCCTCCCCAGCTAACAGCCCGGTCTCCGCACAGCCCTCCCCCCCTGCCCCCCCGAAGATGTAAGGGCATTGTCTCCTTAGTCGGCCATTAAACACGCAAACGCCGCCAAAGCATCCCAACATCCATCACAGCCTTTGCGGAAACATAAACTCAGCTGTCGAGGAGGGTCAAGCACCAAGACGTCTCAAATGTCACCAGCGATCGGGCGTGAAGCCCGTGGGACTCTCGGTGCTGACACCCATTACTGAGTCTGCAACATTAACCTGTCCGACTTCTTCCGCCTGTCA